AAAAACATTGACCAAGGATATGTCATAATTTGTCTTTATGTGAATGACATGCTTATCATTGGAAGCAATCAAAACATGATCAAATCAATTAAGCAAATGTTGAATAGAAGATTTGATATGAAAGATATGGAGGTCGCAGATGTAATATTAGGAATGAAAATTACTAAAACATCTGACGGATACGCATTATCTCAATCACATTATATTGAGAAAATACTTAGTAAATTTATCAAGGATGATATGAATGTAGCTAGAACACCTGTAGACATCAGTTTTTATTTATCGAAAAATAAAGGTGATACGGTGTCTCAGTTAAAATACTCCCAAATCATTGGAAGCCTAATGTACCTAATGAATTGTACTCGTCATGATATAGCTTATGCTGTTAGTAAATTGAGTAGGTACACTAGTAACCCCGGTGAAGACCATTGGAAAGCGATCATTCGGGTTCTTAGATATCTAAGATTTACCCGTGATCATGGTTTGAACTTTATTCGATATCCTGCAGTACTAGAAGGTTATTGTGATGCCAATTGGATATCGGATACTAAATATTCAAAATCCACTAGTGGATATGTCTTTATTCTGGAAGGCGTTGCTGTTTCTTGGAAATCCATGAAACAAACATGCATCGCCCGATCCACAATGGAATCTGAGTTCATTGCTTTAGATAAAGCAGGAGAAAAAGTAGAATGGCTTCGTCACTTCTTAGAAAACATTCCAATACGGCAAAAACCTATGGCAGGACACAAAATCATATGTATAATGGTAAGTCATGACATATTCATCGTTGACATAATACCATAAGGCAATTGCTCTCAAATGGAATAATCTCAATAGATTATATAAAATTTAAAGAGAATATTGCGGATCCATCAACAAAAGGTTTGACAAAAGAGCAAGTGTATAGTTCATCAAAGGGGATGGGATTAAAGCCTATTACATAAGAGTCATCATAATGGTAACCCTACTTATATGACTGGAGATCCAAAGAACTAAGTTCAAAGGGACAACTAAGTTATGTGTGGCTCACCAGAAATCACCAAGAGATTTAAAATTCCCTACCCATTCCTATTGTGAGAGTAATATCTGCAACATATATTGTATGAAGGGGTTTAATGATAAGCTTTGCTTTTATTGATTACTTATATCTTGATTTAGGCATAAAAATCAAGACGAGTGTAAAGAAGATACTCACAATAAGAATCACCTATATGAGTGTCGAATTGGGACCGGTTCTATCAGAATGAAAAGGCTAAATTCTCTAGAAGCACTCATGAACAACCAGGAGCGTTCAAGGCCAAAATGAACACAACCGTGAGAACCACGATGTGTTAGAAGATATTTTGTGTGAAATCTATTGTCTTGGCTTACACAAACGGCTGAACAATTCAAGGCATCGCGTCCATTGGTTAGCTAGTAAGTCCGATAGGTTATCACCAGGGAAGGTTCAAGGCCGAAAACTACCTATCCTGATGAAAGATATTTTTGATTTATACTCTTTCGACAAATTTTGCATATTGTTGCATTTTCGTTGTCATCAAATTCCATTCATGTGGGAGATTGTTAGAAATGGTATTGGAAAATATGATTTTTCCTTAACTTTGGTCTATTTTTTAGATTGGACCCACACGCCAAAGTTGGCGGGTCTGAGTGGTAACGCGTTCTATGCCGCGTTGTGATTTACGTGGTATATTTGGTTGCTCAAAACCATTATCAGGTGAATGGGAAATTGAAGCCAAAGCGAGCTTCATGGAAATGGAGTTTTTGGTAGAAATTCCTTAATGTTTGAATAAAGGCTTGTCCTAAATTGGTTCGGTGGAAAGAATTTTGTGAGTTTATAAGGCATGGGATTGTAACTTGGAGAGGGCCCTAAGGGGCACCCCAAGTTTGTGGAAGGGAGAGGTTATGGACAAATTGGGCTAGACCCATTGGACCCAAAAATAAACATATGCGCGCCGCTGTCTGTCCGTCCGAGCGGGCTGGGCTGGGCTGGGCTTGGGCGCGGGTGCGTGGTGTGAGGTTAGGTTGGGTTTATCCGGCCCAATACTTATCTTTTTAGGCAAAAAACATTTGAATTTATTTTTTAATTTTTGATAAATAAATTTTGACCCTTTGAATTCAAATTTTGGTTTGAAAATTTGCACCCTTCTGTTTGAAATCTGTCTGTTCCGTCTGTACAGATTTCAAATCTGTCCGATTTAGTTCAAAAAACCCTTACCTGTTTAATTTAAAATTCAAACAGATTTGTATCTGTTTAGTTTAAACTGAACATATACCATACCTGTTGGATTCAAACTAAACAGCCACCATTTTCATCAATAAATAGGCAGTCCCTCAATTGATTTTTTCACTCCATTTTTCGTCATCAATTCTGTTTTACTCTCTCTGCATTTTGCTGCATTATTTTTCTTCTTGTGCGAAAGAGTATATTCACAAAGTGTGTTTGTTGTGCGAATAATTTGTAGTGCTGTAATTATTCGTAGTTGATCATTTTATCCTAGAAGATAGACGTCCATAATCTAAAAGCACCGCGCAGAGGACGAATCAGTCTTAAGGACACAGTGTTAAATACTAAACTTGATCAGAAAATTTGTTCAACAAAATTAATTTGGTAAGTAATTAATTTACTTTTCTGCTTTATTATTTTTTTTGTTTCAGATTTTGATTTTGTTTTTGTAACAAAATAAAAATCTATTTTATTTATTTTATTTTATTTTCTGGTTTGATTTTTGTAATCAAACAAACTCTCTCATTTCCTTCAGTCGCAAAAAAAAAGGCCACAACATCATGTCATCGCTAAAACGTTTTAGCAACACCCTCTATTGTGACCCTCCCTTTGCCGTCGCTAAATATTTTTTAAGACGGCATTAGGAGTATTCGCGATGGCATTTTTCCATCGCGAAAAAACTGAAATTTTTGTAGTGATGCCATATGCTATAGATTTAGAATTTAGGATTTATCAATGTATATTGCATGTCATCTTTTGTATTGATCAAAGTTATAAATGAAATAGAAGATATGATATTTTGTTATTACTACAATTACATACTTTTTTTCTTTTTAAGAAAAAAACACATCACCATGTTTGCTTTGATCTTCATAAATTTTTTCTAGAACAATAAAAACTATTTTGGTTAAAGAAATAAAAAATTAGTTTATTTTAAAAAAATTTAAAATATTTTTTTAATATTTATTTTTATCAAATTAGTTTCCATTTTTTAAAAAATAATTATGAAATTTTTTTTTTCTTAAAAACAAACCAAACAACGCAAATTATCTATATAATTTTTTTATATACAAAATTTGATTATATACTATATATATAGAAAAACGCAAAATGCAAAATTAAATATTAAAATTATTACAAATAAAACAACATTAACTAAATTGATATTACAACGACTATCACTACAATTTGTGTTTTTATTTTTTAATTTTATTTTTAGACATAGCAGCCACGGAAGGACTCATCTTTCGTCATTGAAGGGGCTGAATATGAAATGGGTTGGATCCAAGCCTTGGGCCGGCCCAATCCACTAAAGCCCAAATCCAAGTGGGTTAGATGAATATATGGGCAAGCCAATTGAGCCCAACTCCATGATCAACAGTATACCCAAGTCCTCAAGCATTTGGGCCCAACCTGCAGTGGAAAGGCTAGTCCAGCCACGATGTTGGGCTGGGCCGAGCTGCAAGACCTAATCTATGTGCCGAACTAAAGTGGGCCGAGCCCATACAAAGATATCCGAATGGACTAACCCATCTCTATAAACGATCTTGTAAAAGGCCGAGCCGAGGCACAGCGGTACCGAGCTAAGGAAACCCTTTAGAGAAATGTGGAAGCTATGAATGCATGCACATGGAGGATGCCACCTCAGCTGGTCCCCTACACCTAGAATCACGGAAACTGTTAAACCAAAAGAATGTGGTTTGTTATCGGCATGATCACAATGAGTATATGCACCCTTTGATAACTAACAGATGGTCCCCCACCTTGGGCAATGATAAAAAGGAAACTTGGCAGCACCAGAGTTCCATGAAATCATGATGGGCAACAAGCAAGGAGTTCTATATAAACCACACTAACTTCACATTGAAGATAATTGAACTGATCTAAGCTAAACGCTACTTACTAAAACATTCTACACTTAGAGAGAGCATCTTTCTTCTTCCCCGATTACTCATTCCCATACCAGAGGGGTTATCCGGCCAACCCCGGCCGGGCAGCTCTGACGGTGCTCCTTGTTGCAGGACCTCAATTCCCGGATAGTCCAACCAAGTGTGAAGCTCCGATTTACAATCATCTAGTGTGGTATTCGATACGCACAATTGGTACGGTGAGCGTGGACGCTTCGTCTCTGAGCTCTGCACTCAGTTCTGGCGATAGGGATTGAGGACATCTCATATTCGGCACATACTCCACAGGCGGAGAAGACCAAGGACAAAGGCTTAGCACTCCCAACATCTTAGAAGAACAAACCGAGAATAATAACCGGACCCCCAAATCTGTTGAGCATCGATTGCCCTTCGCTGGAGGTTCTTCTTATCACTTTCTTCTAGAAAAGGATTACAGAGATCGAATCATAGGCTCTATGGAGATGGAGATACAGGAGCTAAAAACGCAGCTCAAAAGGGTGCTGGGCGATCCGACGGAGAAAAAGACTGACACAGAGCCCTTTCGCTTGCGACAGAGAAGCTCGTTCAGAGAACCACCGGTGAAGAAGATCTCTAGAAACGAATCTGGGCAACAGAGCTAGCCAATCCCGGTACAAAGTGAGGCGGCGAATAGCTACACCCGTGGGTCTCACCGGAGGAGGGCTAAGAGGTAGAAGACGGTAAGCCAGCAAACTGAGTACCATCCTCAAGACCTTCGTACTTGGCTACTTGGCAACAAGCAGAATGAGCAACGTCGAGATCATCTGGACCATACCATCCACCAGAGAGAGCACCGAGCATTGGATAGGCTAGTCTCCTCCCCATTCTCCCCAGAAATCGAGGCCATGAAACCTTCCAAGAAATTCACCCCGCCAAAGTTCACGTCATACGATGGAAAGTCAGACCCATTGACGCACATTAGCCATTATAGACAGATGATGTCCCTATGGAGCCAAGACGAAGCACTGATGTGCAAAGTCTTCCCGTCCAGCTTGGGAGAATTCGGACTCCGATGGTTTGATCGACTCCCCGCTGGGTCAATTTATGGCTGGAAGCAACTCTCCGAAGAGTTCTTAGCTAGGTTCGTCTCCAATACTAAGATCCCGAAAGAGCCGGATACACTGTTCAGTCTCCTAAAGGAATATGAAGAAATGCTGCGTAATTATGCCAGGAGGTATTGGAAAGAGTACAATGACTTAGAGAAAAATGTTTACAGTGAGCAGATGGCTGTTATGTCTTTCAAACATGGCCTGTGCCCGGAAAGTAAATTGAGACAGTTACTTACGAAGCACCTAGCCACAACACTAAAAGATTTGCGTGCTAGGATATAGCAGTATGCTCGCCTCGAAGATGACCAGATCCTCATCGAGGTAGCATCAGCAGAACAAACAGCTCGGCATAAGAAGAAAACGGACCGAGGGGAACACCGGGGACTCACAGTGAATGAGGTGGACAAGTCCAAATCTCACGAAGCAATCGTGACCGTATTCAAGAACCAATCTATCGTATCTTGGAAACGATCAAGAGAGAGCCCTTCTTTGTTTGGCCGCTGAAAATGTTGGGAGATCCGGCTCAGCGTAATCAGAAGCTCAGATGCACCTATCACCAAGACAAGGGGCATATGACACAGAACTGCAGAGCACTGAAGCAACACCTGGAAGATTTAGTAGCAGCTGAACACCTCTGAGACTACATTGATCAGGATAAAGCAGCGGCCGAATAGGGAAACCCACTACCGAAACCGATCATCGAACTCTCACCTCGACTGATAATAAATGTGACCATGAAACAACGACCCAAGAGCGCGAAGAGGCACTGAAAGAAGAGATTGCTAAGGCTGTGCAAATTTAGCAGGTCATGTTAGTAGAGCCCGCGTCGAAAAAGGTACAAACGGTACCCAAATCCCCCTTGTGCACTGTTTCGTTTACTAGAAATGATTTAGAAAGCATACAACACCCACATACTGATGCACTGATTATAATTGTGGGAATTGGGAAATGGTTTGACATAAAACGAGTCCTGGTGGATCAAGGCAGTGCAGCAGACATATTGTATTATGACTTGTTCAGAAAGCTCGGTCTTTCTAAGCAGCACCTTACCCTAGCTACAGCTCTATTAGTCGACTTCAATTCACTGCCAGAGTGGCCACTTGGCAGAATAGTGTTGTCGGTTGTGGTAGGAACGAAGACCCTCCAGATAGAGTTCTTAGTTATTAATACACCTTCCCCTTACAACGCCATACTTGGTTGTCCATGGATTCACCAAATAGAGGCGGTCCCTTTAACCTACCACCAGCTCATCCGTTTCCCAACAAAACATGGAGTAGAGCAGATCTTAGAGAATCAAGTTGCGTCCAAGCATTGCTTCATGGCGGCATTGAAGGCTAAGCAACTTTGTAACCGAGTTTAGATAGTAGAAGTGGCCGAACAACCAGTCTTGGAAGATGTTGGGGGAGCTCCAAAGGAAAAGATTGTAGGGGATTTGGAGAAAGTCCTGGTAAAGGAGGATGATCCAGAAAAGTACTTCCTTATCAGTACCTCGCTAGGCGCTGATGAGAAACTTCAGTTGCTGGAACTGCCGCGGGAAAATATGGAGGTATTCTCTTGGTCAGTATATGATACTCCAGGGTTGAACCCAAAATTTGCTTGCCACAAACTCAACATCAATCCCTCCGCTCGGGCTGTCGTGCAGAAAAGTCGGAGATCCTCAGTTGAGTATACTGAAGCGGTAATTGCTGAAGTCGAAAAGCTCCTAGCATCAGGAGCGATCAGAGAAGTTCAATACCCACAATGGTTATCTAACACAGTTGTAGTAAAAAAGAAGAACGAAAAATGAAGAGTCTGTGTTGACTTCACCTACTTGAACAGAGCTTGTCCCAAGGACAGTTTTCCTCTACCTTGCATCGATCAACTAGTGGATTCAACAGCAGGTCATGAGCGTATGAGCTTTCTGGATGCTTATAGCGGTTATCACTAGATATCACTGTTTAGCCCAGATCAGGAGAAGACAACGTTTATCACTCCAAGGGGCACTTATTGTTACAAAGTAATGCCGTTCGGCCTCAAGAACGCCGGGGCAACCTACCAGCGAATGATCACTCAAATGTTCAAGGACCAACTTGGAAAAACCATGGAAGTTTATATAAATGATATGGTAGTAAAAAGCAAGCTCGCTACAAACCACCTTACAGACTTAAGAGAAGTTTTTGATATCCTGAAAAACCATCAGCTTCGCCTTAATGCCTCGAAATGCGCTTTCGGGGTAGGAATAGGGAAGTTCTTGGGGTACATGGTCACTCACAGAGGAATCGAGGCAAATCCGGACCAAATCAAAGCAATACAAGAGCTTGGAGTACCAACAAAGGCTAAAGAGCTACAGAAGTTGGCCGGAATGGCGGCCGCCCTGAATCGGTTCATCAGTAAGTCTTCAGATCGGATGAAGCCCTTTTTCCAGCTACTGAGAAAAAAGGCAACATTTGAATGGAGTCCTGAGTGTACCGAAACATTACAAAGTCTCAAAAGATACCTCAGTACACCACGTTTTTTATCCACTCCAGAACCAGGAAAAGAACTGTACTTATATCTGGCAATCTCAGACCACGCCGTAAGCGCGGTATTGATTCAAGAAGTTAACAAAGAACAGAGGCCAGTATACGATGTTAGCAAGACTCTACTAGATGCCGAGACAAGGTATCTACCCTTGGAAAAGTTAGCTTACGCATTGCTTATTGCCTCAAGAAAGTTGCAACATTACTTCCAAGAGCATACTATCAATGTCCTCACTGAATTTTCCCTCAGATCTGTCTTCAGTCGAGCTGATTTCTCTGGCCGAACAGCAAAATGGGCGGTAGAGCTTGGTGAGTTTGATATTCGATATCAGCCCAGGACAGCAATTAAAGCCCAGGTCTTGGCAGACTTCGTCGCAGAATTCGCTCCCACCCAAAGTACCGAGCCTCAAAACTCTAGTTCGGTATAGGCGCCACGCACCATCGAACTGGGAAAACAATGCACTTCAGAGGCATGGAAACTCTTTGTTGGAAACATCTGGCAGCTTTATGTCGACGGATCATCCAATAACCGAGGTTCGGGAGCAGGGGTGGTACTTATGTCACCAGAAGGGTTTATTTGGGAGAAAGCTCTAAGGCTCGGCTGGAAGGCTTCTAACAATGAGACGAAAAATGAAACACTGTTGGCTGGCTTACATAGTGCCGAACACTTCAGTGCAGAGCAACTTCTTGTTTTTAGCGATTCTCAATTGGTTGTAAACCAACTTTTTGGGGTTTATGAAGCATGAGACGAAAGAATGGCTATGTATGCAGGCAAGGCCAATGATCTGCTCAAAAAATTTCGATCTATATGAGTGGAACGAATCAGTCAGGACAAAAACAGCATGTTGATGCTTTGGCCTTCCTCAGCTCATCAGTAGATACTAAAGACGCTAGAAAAGTTTGGGTTGAGTTCGTGCCAGAACTAAGCATTGCATCTCCAGTCCTTTGCAGCAACCTAGAGCCAAGCTGGATGGATCCGATACTTGCTTTTCTGAAATCTGGCACTCTCCCTGAAGAAAAAAAGGAAGCCAACAAAATCCGACACAGGTCAGCTCGGTTCTGGGTCTCACCATCGGGGAAGCTATACAGATGTTCTTATCTCAGTCCTTATCTTTTATGTGTGCATCCAAATCTGGTCGAAAACGTTCTCTATGAAATTCATGATGAGATTTGTGGATGCCATGTTGGTGGAAGGTCACTAGCGCACCGAGCCCTCACTCATGGGTACTGGTGGCCATAGATGTAACAAGACGTACAGCAGTATGTTCAGAAGTGCGATAAATGTCAGAGGTTTGCTCCACTAATTCATCAGCCAGCCAAAACTCTCACTCCATTCACCAGCCCATGGTCTTTTGCCCAATGGGGTTTGGATATAGTCGGACCTTTGGCACGAGGCACTGGGAACAGGCGATTCTTCATCGCTGCAACCGACTATTTCACCAAGTGGGTTGAAGTCGAAGCATTGGCAAGTATCAAAGAAGCAGACACAAAGCGGTTTGTCATGAGGAACATCGTGGTCTGTTTCGGCATCCCTCAGGTACTGATTGCAGATAATGGAACACAGTTTGATGGAAAGATCTTCAGAAATTTTTGTGCCGACCTCAGAATCGAATATCGGAACTCTTCTCCAAGCTACCCACAAAGTAATGGGTAGGCAGAAGCGTCGAACAAAACCATCATCAACAGAGTAAATAAGCGACTCGAACATACAAAGGGAAAATGGGTTGAAGAGTTACCCCACGTGCTATGGGCTTACGGAACCACATCACGGCGCTCAATGGGGGAAACACCTTACTCCCTAACCTATGGAATGAAGGCCATTATCCCACTCAAAGTAGGTCTTCCAACCCTCCGGTTTGAATTGTTTGAAAGCACAAGTAATGAGGAAGCTATTGCACAAGCACTGGATATGACAGAAGGCTGAAGAGAAACCGCACTGATCAGACTTATAGCATATCAGCAGCAGCTCATCAGAAGTTTCAACTAAAAAGTTTTCCCAAGGCAATTCACACCTAGAGAACTGGTTTTGAGGAAAGTGATGGATCACAAAAGGGTGCCTGGCGAAGGAAAACTTGGGCCTAACTGGGAAGGTCCGTATAAAGTCACAGTTGTTGTTGAAAATGGAGCTTACTACCTAGAGGATCTTAAAGGTCGAGCCATACCTCGGCCTTGGAACGTAGCAAATCTCAAGAAATACTATCAATAGAATTATACCCCAACTTCTCTAACAGAATGTAAAGACATTTATCTGTTGACCAATGCAAATGCCTCCCCACTTCCTTCAAATTTACCAAATTTTTGTAATTAGCTTTGGTGTTCACCAAACAGAAATAGCTTTGATGTTTATCAGACGAAATTAGCTTTGGTACTTACCAAACGGAAATAACTCTGATGTTTATCAAACGGAATTAGCTTTGGTATTTACCAGATGGAAATAGCTTTGATGTTTATCAAACGGAATTAGCTTTGATGTGTATCAAACGAACTCAGCTTTGGTGTTAATCTAAATGGACTTAGTTTTAGAATGACTGAACGAAATTAAATTTTAGTTAGCACTCAAACATGTCAAGTGGAATTGCTTGGTGGAATTATGTTTGGCAACTAAATTGGACTTTAGCCAAATGGAATTGCTTGGTGGAAACTGCACTAACATATTTTAAGTAAACATCTCTGAGTCCACAGAATTTCTTAAGTATCATCACATCAGCACTTCAGTATTGCTACGTAAAACCAGAGTTGGAACAAACCTGGACCTAAAGATCACAGTCTTCAGTACCGATCTTA